CCATGCAGTCCACTATGATGCAGCGCTCGCAGACGCGCGTGGCGGGTGCCACGAGGAGCGCGCCTGCTCCCGTGCAGCGCCTGGCCAAGGCCGCTCGCCGCAGCCCTGTGGCCAAGGCTGCTGCCGTCGAGGCCTCTTCTGAGGTGTCGGTGGAGCAGATCAACCGCTGCGTCAATGCGATCCGCTTCCTCGCCATCGACGCGGTGAACAAGGCCAAGAGCGGGCATCCCGGACTCCCCATGGGCTGCGCGCCTATGTCTTACACCCTCTTCAACGAGGCTATGAAGTACAACCCGAAGGACCCCAAGTGGTTCAACAGGGACCGCTTTGTGCTGAGCGCCGGCCACGGCTCCATGCTGCAGTATGCGCTGCTGCACCTCACGGGCTACGACAGCGTCTCGGTGAGCAACCTGGAGGCTGCGTGGGTCGCCCATTGGCAGCGGACGTGCTGGGAACCGGCTGCGAACTGTCGGGACTGCCCCGCTGACCCTGTTCCACGCCCTGCAACCCGCACAGCTGGANCGACATCAAGTCGTTCCGCCAGTGGGACAGCTCCACCCCCGGCCACCCCGAGAACTTCCTCACGGCTGGCGTGGAGGTCACTACCGGTGGGCGCCTTGTGTGTGGCCGTCGCAGAGGCCAGGCTGGAACTGTTGCCTGCCCAGTACCGGATCTGGTCAGTCAATTGGCCGACAACCCCAATTCAGGGAAAATGCTCGCGTATTGTGCCCTAAGCCATGTGCTGAAGCCTACTGGTGCATTGCATTACTGCTGCTGCTACGCCAACAGGTCCCCTGGGCCAGGGTATCTGCAATGCTGTCGGTCTGGCGGTTGCTGAGGCCCACCTGGCGCAGCGCTTCAACAAGCCCGATGCCACTATCGTCGACCACTACACGTGAGTGCGTGTTGCTGGTACCAGCTGGTACCAGCTATGCAAAATGGGGTTGGCATGCGCAGGAGGGCCTGGCCATTATTTGTCGCCATCAACCCTGTTGCTGTTGGAGTGTGGATTGGCATATACTGTGGCATTCTCAACTAGGGTTGTGAACACCATGGGTCATTCATACTCCTGACTACCACTGGGTATCTTTCAGGGGGGGCCGCGTAGCCAGCATTGCCCTCCATGACGCACTACTCACATCTCATGCACCCACATTCCTAGACAACGCCTGTGTTAACACATGAAATTGAGTTGCTGCACATCACTTGAACTGGCTGGCCTGGGACCTCCAAAGCTGACGTATGCACCCACCNTCTTTCCCCGCAGGTACTGCATCCTGGGTGACGGCTGCAACATGGAGGGTGTGTCCACTGAGGCCGCGTCCCTGGCGGGCCACTGGGGCCTGGGCAAGCTGATTGCGCTGTACGACGACAACGGCATCTCCATCGACGGCCACACTGACATCTCCTTCACTGAGGACGTCAGCAAGCGCTTCGAGGCCCTCGGCTGGCACGTGCAGCACGTCAAGGTGCGCCAGAGGGGGGCGGGGAGGGAGAGCGCGGCAGGGGAGCAGGGCACGGTGCTGGTGGCAGCATCAGCCGCGAGCGCTGGCAGCACACAAACTTGCGCCGGCAACTGGCTGCGCAGCAGTCGCACTCGGGATGCATGCAACGCTGGCGTGCTGCTGTCCTGACGCGCAGCTGCAGAGCTTGCGTCCGCAGCACGCCGCTGCTGACTGGCCTGTCCTCGGCTCGGCGGCTCCCTCGCCCTGTTCAGGACGGCAACACCGACTTTGAGTCGCTGCGCCAGGCCATTGCCAACGCCAAGGCCGTCACCGACAAGCCTTCGCTCATCAAGGTGAGCAGGGCTGTCGGGTGGTGGACTGGTGCTGATCGCGGCAGGGTTTCAGGGTGGAGGAGCGTCAGCACCGACGGCAGTGGCACAGTCAGCAACCCCGAGCGGCCGTGCGGCGCAAGGGATGCTGCAGGCCAGAGGATCGCGCAGTGGCGACCCCTGACTGTCTCCCGAGTCCAGCAACCGCCTGCCGTGCGCCCTGGGCTGAACGCCGCGATCCTCCTGGCCATCGCGCCACCCCTGCCAGGTGACCACCCTGATCGGCTACGGCAGCCCCAACAAGTCGGACACCCACGACGTGCACGGTGCGCCCCTGGGTGCCGAGGAGACCGCCGCCACGCGCGCCAACCTCAAGTGGGAGTACCCCGAGTTTGAGGTGCCCCAGGACGTGTACGACGTGATGCGCTCCAACGTGACCAAGGGCGCCGCCGCCCAGGCCGAGTGGAACGCCGCCGTGGAGGCCTACAAGGCCAAGTACCCCACGGTGGGCGGGCTGGATCCTCGTTCGGGGGGGGGGGGCATGATTAGGGCGTAATTTGGGCAGCTAGGGGTGGCAGCAAGCAGGGTGTGCAGCTGCAGCTGCAGTGAGGGTTGGTGGGTCGCTGGTTGCCACGCGGCGCGGCGTGGCCATCCTGGCCGTGAGGATGCCTGCGCCCGCTCTGCTGCCGTGGCCGTGCCCTGCCTGCCCCTCATGTCGCGACCGTTCCTCCCGGCCTTGGTGCTGGGAGCAGCACTGCCGCTCTTGCGCCTGACCACCTGGACTGCCGACACGCTCACCTCACGCCCACAGGAGTACGCCGAGTTTGCCCAGCTGACCAGCGGCGAGCTGCCCGCTGGCTGGGAGTCTGCCCTGCCGACCTACACCCCCGAGGACAAGCCCCTGGCCACCCGCCAGTACAGCCAGATCATGCTCAACGCGCTGGCGCCCGTGCTGCCCGGCCTGATGGGCGGCTCCGCCGACCTGGCGCCCTCCAACCTGACGCTGATGAAGATGTTCGGTGACTTCCAGAAGGGCACCTACAACGAGCGCAACGTGCGCTTCGGCGTGCGCGAGCACGGCATGGGCGCCATCGTCAACGGCATGGGCCTGCACGGCAGCGGCATCATCCCCTACTGCGCCACCTTCTTCATCTTCACCGACTACATGCGCGGCGCCATGCGCATGAGCGCGCTCAGCGAGGTGCGCGCGGGAGCCACTGCGGGCTCGCAGCGCCTGCGGGGCCCTGGTTCAGGACAGGCTTTAAGCGGGCAGCGGCCACGGGTCGGGGCGGCCAGCCAACGCGTCAGCCAGCTGCGTTGTGCAGCACGCAGCTGGCCCTGCAGCCTGTCCCTGCGTGCTTCTATTGCAGCAACCCGCATTGGCCGCTCTCCCAAGGTCCCCATCACCCCCTAGACTGTTCCCTTGGCGACCCGTCCTCACCCGTCGTCCACCCCCCAAACAACCCCACCC